CCAGGGGAACAGTTTGAGGCTCTGTCTCAAAAAATAAAAATTAAAAAAAAAAAAAGGGAGGTGTCTGTGGCTCAAAGGAGTAGGGTGCCGGCCCTATATACTGGAGGTGGTGGGTTCAAACCCAGCCCCAGCCAAAAATTGCAAAAAAAAAAAAGAAGAGTAGGTGAGCCAACAGAAGGCTCCAGACCAGGGCCCCACCCTAGGTCTAAAGAGCTAGATCCCTTCCCCCACGAGCAGGAGTACCCCCAGTGAGCAGAAGAAGAGGTTGATAGCCAGAGTGGAAAACTTTATTGCTAACAGGTTTCAACAAAAAAACAAATGAATACACACAGAAACATGGACAGCATCTTCCTCAACAACAGACAGGGGAAGGGAACAGGAGAAAAGTGAGTGAGGGGTGTGAGCCAGGGTATTCCTCTCTATGTCACAGCAAAAGTGAGACCTCAGGGAAAGGACCATTTTCCCTCCATCCAGCTGAGGGCCTTGTGACCACCTCACTCAGAGAAGTCCAAGACAGCAGCTGAGAAGAGGGGGCTGAGCTACCAAAGCCCAGGCCTGGGGGCAGGTGAAAAGAAGGGGCTGACAATGTGATCCCTACAGTCTGACATCACCAGGGAGGTGTCATGGGCTGAGGATTCTGCAGATAGGACATCACCACAGCAGAAATGGACAACCTGGGACAGGAGAGAGGTGTCAGTTTAGGATAAGTTAGCTTTGGGCCCCCCTCCCCTCACTCAGAAACACCCTCCCTCTCTAGGGCAAGCCTTACATGAAGCTACTCATCATCTGCTTAGTGTCTTCTGAGCTCCGGGAGTTCGCAAAGCTTATAAAGGAGCAGTAGACAGCGACCCAAGCACACCACTTCAGCTGGGGAGAGGTGGGGGTGATGTGGGGGGGCAGGTTAGGTCAGTGAGAGGCACCCCATGAGTCCCTCAGTCCCACCTTCTCATAGTATACTCCAGATACCTGGTTTTTGGTCTTCTAGCTTGTTTCCCTCCTTTTATTTATTTATTTATTTTTTAAAAGAGGCAGTCTCACTTTTTCCCCCAGGCAGAAGTGCAGTGGAGAGATCTTGTCTCGCTGCAGACCCAAATTGCTGGGTTCAAAGGATCTTCCCGCCTCAGCCTTCCCTGTAGCTGGGACTACAGGTGTGCTCGGCTAATTTTCTTCATTTGATTGTAGAGACGGGATCTCTCTTGCTATGTTGCCCAGGGTCTGTGTCTTTGACTCCCACCACATTCCCTCAAGCCCAAGACTGGCCTTTTAACATCCCTGGTGATGAGGACCTTGCCCTTTTTTCACGAATCCCCTCCAAGTTGTTTCCGAGCCTGACTCCACCCGCAGACCGCCCTGCCATGTGCTCTCCCTGACCCAGACCTCTGGCTTCCAGGACAACTGGGGCTTCCTCGGCCCAGCCATCTACCCGGCTCCCGGTCACTCTCAGACCCCGCCTCCTCGAGCAGGCCAGATCCCCGCTTCATTCAGAACCCGCCCCCACGGCCTCGTTCTCAGGCCAAGCTACACCCATAGATGCCCAACCCGGCCCACCTTGAGCATGAGGCCGCACATGCTGAAGATCATGCCCAACAGGTTCATGTAGTCCGGCGTCGGGTCGTCCAAAGCCGGGTTACACTCGCTTGGCGGAGGCTTGTACCTGCGACAAACTCAAGGGTCTGGGCGCTTAAGTCCCGACACCGGGTTGAACAAACGCTTCCCTCTGCCCCCACCTGCACTCAACCCAAGCCCCGTTGTCATGATGCTGGGGTCCTCACCTGAGCACTTTGTTCGGCCTCCGTGGGTCCGACATACTGTTAGCAGACATGGCGAAGCGAAGGCCAAGTCCAAGGTCTTCCGCTACAGGAGTCGCAGCTTCCGGCTTGCAAGCGGAAGGTGGCTTTTACAGTAACACCCAAAGCCCTCGTACTTTCGTTCCTTACTGTGGAGGCCAGGACAACCCCCAGAGAGAGAAAAGCGGATTACAAGAGGCCAAAAATGTTTCCAAGAAACGAGAATTGAGGGGAGAAAGAAACTGAAAGCGGGTTTCAATATTCCTAACACTTTTACCAAGGTACTGACGTTTCGAATCCGGAAGTGAGAAACAGGACATGGAGGGCAATAATAAGGTTACACCCAAGAGAGGACTTAAGGCTTAGAATCCTTCCCACAGCCTGGCGTCAGGCGGCCAGGAAGGGGTTTGGGGGTCATGGCTTTTCCTGAGCCAAAGCCGCGGGCCCCGGAGCTGCCGCAGAAACGGTTAAAGACGCTTAACTGCGGGCAAGGGGCTGTGCGAGCCGTGCGATTTAATGGTGAGCGCCCTCTTCATCCCAGTCCTCCTCGCGCTTCCTGGGGTCGGCATCCCAGTAATCCCTGCCTGGTGTTCCCCAGTGGATGGCAATTATTGCTTGACGTGTGGCAGCGACAAGACCCTGAAGCTGTGGAACCCACTTCGGGGGATGCTGCTGCGGACATACAGCGGCCATGGCTACGAGGTGCTGGACGCGGCCGGGTGAGCCGGGGGCTGGCCCGGGGTAGGAACTATGAGGCTGGTATTGGAGGTCAACGCTGACTCCGTCCTTCCTCCCGACCCCTTTCTTCCTCCCTCCTTCCCCCTTCCTCTCTTCTTGTCTCCCTCCCTTTCTCCTTCCTCCCTTTCTCCCTTCCTCCTCTCTCTCTCTTGTTTTTTTGAGACAGAGTCTAACTTTGTCGTCCTGGGTAGAGTGCCTGGCGTCATAGTTCATAGCAACCTCAAACTCTTGGGCTCAAGCGATTCTCTTGCCTCAGCCTCCCGAGTAGCTGGGCGCCTGCCACATGCCCAGCTATTTTTAGAGACGAGGTCTGGCTCTGGCTGGTCTCGAACTGGTGAGCTCAGGCAGTCTACCCACCAGTCCAACCGCCTCAGCCTCCCAGAGTGCTTGATGACCTTCCCTTTCTGACTTCCAGCTCCTTTGACAATAGCAGTCTCTGCTCTGGCGGCGGGGACAAGGCGGTGGTTCTGTGGGATGTGGCTTCGGGGCAAGTCGTGCGCAAATTCCGGGGCCATGCAGGGGTGAGTGCAAGCCTCCAGACCCCGGGTAGAGGAGGACCCATATAAGCACCTGGGTGGTGACAGAGGCGATCCCCCCATTACAGCATTAAGGATCATTCCTCAGATGGCAATACCAGCTCACACCCTTATGGCCAGACCATGCAGTCCTTGCAGTTCCCCCAAAACCTTTCACCTCCCAAGCAACCTCTAGCCTCTGTTCTTACTGTCACCTGCACTGGGAACCCTGCCTTTATCCCAGTCCTCCAAAGTCCAGCCTCCTCTGAGTGGCAGTAATTGTTTATTAGAAGGTGAACACTGTGCAGTTTAATGAAGAGGCCACAGTCATCCTGTCAGGTGAGTCTGGAACCTAGGCAGAGGGGACTGGGATGCTACTCCGACCCCCCAAACCTGATCTCACCTTCATGCTGACCTCACAGGCTCTATTGATTCCAGCATCCACTGCTGGGACTGCCGCTCTCGGAGACCTGAGCCAGTGCAGATACTGGATGAGGCCAGGGATGGTATCTCCAGTGTGAAGGTGTTGGACCATGAGGTCCTGGCAGGGTGAGTGGAGTCAGGACCTTGCCCCTCCCAAGGGGATCATAGCTGCTTCTGCTCAGATCAAATCTATTTTCAACCAGGGAGAGTGGTGTGCATTTGTGCTTCCAGCTACTCAGAAGACTGAGGCAGGGGGATTGCTAGAGCAGTTCAAGGCTGCCCTTCTGCTACTTACAAAAAGTGTGTTTGAGCACCTACTGCATGTAAATCAGAGAAAAAATGTTAAGAAAATCAGTGCTCAACTTCAGCAGCTCATATACTAAAATTGGAACAATACAGAGAAGATTAGCATGCCTCCACCCCTGCAGGGATGACATACAAATTCCTAAAGCCTTCCATATTTTAAGCAACCATCCCATGTTGGTTGCTTCCATGGTTTAAGTAACCATCCCAACCATCCCACTCAGTGCTAAGCTGAAACTAGTAGATCAACAACTATGAGCCCACACAAGAGAAAAACACAATAAAATTCAAGAAGGGAGGGTCAGTTCCCACCTAGTGAGTACAATGTAACAGCTATATGGCACATTTCCTGGGTGACTCAGCTACAACTAACCTAATCATACGTACCCTCATATTAACTTGAAATTAAAAAAAAAAATCGCTCAGCACCTGTAGCACATTGCTCACAGTGCCAGCCACATACACTGGGGCTGGTAGGTTCAAACCTGCTAAACAACAATGACAACTGCAAAAAAAAAAAAAATAGCTGGGCATTGTGGTGGGCACCTTAGTCCTAGCTACTTGGGAGGCTGAGGCGAGAGACTCGCTTAAGCCCAAGAGTTTGAAGTTGCTGTGAGCTGTGACACCACAGCACTCTACCAAGGGCAACATAGACTCTGTCTCAAAAAAATAAATAAAATAAGAGGCGGCACCTGTGGCTCAGTAAGTAGGGCACGGGTCCCATATACTGAGGGTGGCAGGTTCAAACCTAGCCCCAGCCAAACTGCAACAAAAGAATAGCCAGGCACTGTGGTGGGTGCCTATAGTCCCAGCTACTCCAGAGACTAAGGCAGAGGAATCGCCTAAGCCCAGGAGTTGGAGGTTGCTGTGAGCTGTGATGCCACGGCACTCTACCTAAGACGACATAGTGAGACTGTCTCAAAAAAAAAAAAAAAACAACACAGGCGCATCCATGTGTGGGATAGCAGAGAGACACCATCTGGAATCATGGAGCCACTGGTCTCAGTCAAGATGTTGGTTCTAGGGCAGCGCCTGTGGCTCAGTGGGTCAGGCGCTGGCCCCATTTACCGAGGGTGGCAGGTTCAAACCCAGCCCCAGTCAGCTAAAATAGCAGTGGCAACTGCAACAAAAAAAAAAGCCAGGTGTTATGGCAGGCACCTGTTGTCCCAGCTACTTGGGAGGCTGAGGCAAGAGAATCACTTAAGCCCAAGAGTTGGAGATTGCTATGAGCTGTGATGCCACGGCACTCTACTGAGGGCAGCAAAGTAAGACTCTTAAAAAAAAAAAAA